AAATTTATGATTTCCATTTGTATTACCCTTGTGATTTTTCTCACCAACATTCAGAGTTTAATACTACCCTATAACTGATTCCTTGTGGGTATAGAATGTTTATTTAAAAATTTATTATTTGATAAATACTATTAGAATAAATAACTTTGCTACATTTTTTTACAGATAGTTATATCAAAAGTAAAAAAAATGTTAAATTAAATATTTTATTTATTGACTTAATTTAAATCGGATATATAAAAATTGACAAAAAGGTCAAAAACAACTAAAGCATATTTTTTAGTGGTTGGTATTTTTGCTTTTAAGTCAAAAAATTTCAAAAGTTTGATACACGTAAAAACTCTTATAATTGAAGCAATATACACATAAAAATCAATGCGCAATTTCTATAATATAATCCTTATTCTATACTGCATTATATTACGGTTTGTAACCATCTAAATTAATATGTTCTACAAGCTTTACCGGTAAAAAATGTATCATGGTTCAGCAAAGGTATTTTTAAACTACATATGTATGCTGGACTCTAAAATAAACTAATACGATAAATATGTGATTTAAACAGAGTAAAAAAAGCAGTACTGTTAGTTATAACGTATCGCAAATGGATATCCCGCAAAAAATGTATGCCTTCTGCCAGAATTGAACTGGCGACCTTCTGCTTACTAGGCAGACGCTCTGCCAACTGAGCCAAGAAGGCAACTCTCAGACCGGGAATTGAACCCGGGTCTCCAATGTGACAGACTGGGATACTCACCACTATACTATCCGAGAGCATGCTCCTTACAGGGGTCGAACCTGTGACCTTGGCGTTATTAGCACCACGCTCTAACCAACTGAGCTAAAGAAGCTTATTTTTTAAGTTTGACTTAATTATTTATAATAAATTTGTAATTTATTACCAGATAATTACATTTTTTAACGTAATTTAATGTTATATATGTGACTAGAGAATAAATGAGTATGTTTTATTTTAATTTATTGTTGGTTTTTTTAATGAGCTATAAAATCAAGTTATTAAATTTATTTTTATTGTATAGAAAAGACAGGGGCATAAAAATTGTTTTTTTATAATAATTCTAGTGGTAGCTTCTTTTGTTAAGTCTATTTCATGTAAAATTTTGTTGTTTTTAGTAATCCTAACGTTATTGATAGGATCCATATATTTAACTCATTTATTTTTTTTAATTAACTGGTATTGTATATTAAGCGTAAACACTTTTTTTTATTCTTAAATATATAATGCATATAAGTATATTATAGCTATTGGTTTTTTTAAAAGGTAAAAACTATTTTTTTAAGCAAAAAAAGCATCCGTTTGGGTGTCTCTAAAAAAAACTACTTAATTTTAGCGCCAATTGAGCAAAATAATTTATGCACCTCTATCTTGTAATTTTTTTGTATCCAATAACCTAATATGAAGTATAGTATGTTCTGGGTCAATTAAA